ACTCAGTATCACTCTTCATTCTTCATCTGTGAAACACCACTGACTCGATATGAGAACGAACTGGGCCAAGTGAGTGTGTTTGCATAGTAGGAGTAGAGTAAATGCTTATGAATGTCCTCTCCATTACAGTTGTGCTCTGTGCTGACAAAACTGTTGTGTAGTATTTATAGGAAGTTCTCAACAATAATGGGATTCATGTTTTAAAATTGTTTAATTGTACGTGAGCAGTTGAATTCTAGCAACTGATATCTATTATATATAGAATGTATTACAGTCTAGATTGGATTTGACCTGTGCGTTGAAAGAGCAGCTTTGGTAGATGCTCTGATTTTGTGCCTGACGGTGCTGCCCTCCAAACTAAAGCGGATTTGGGTTGCTTTTGTTTGCACTTAGCTGGGATGTGTGGGGACTGAGCAAGCGCAGGAGGACATTGCCCCTGTGTCATTTTGTTTGTGGTGAGATGGGACTCCCAATTGGGCTAAGCTCTAATGTCCTTCATCCTTATAAAGCTGTCAGTTCAGACTAGACGTTATTAACTGAAATAAAGAACCGGATGCCAAACACATTTTAGCATTCTTTGAATTCTACCTGTGTGATGAGGCTCATCTAGCTAGGTCTTTTATCCTGGCTTTCCCCATTGTTTGAATATTGGTCTCTCTTCTTGTCGGAACAATGATCTCTTTGCTTTTCTTTGGTAGCAAAGAAAGAAGTAGCACATGTACAGTTGTTGCCAGTTTATAATGCATTTACATGTATTTTCCTCTGACCTTTGCAGCATCTTTGAAAGGGGTAGAGCTGATGTTATGTCCATCTACAAGTTCAGAGATTGGGGTAGGGGAAATGGCTCAGTAGAATAGAAAATGGTTTAATTGTATGTGGAGAGTTAGGTGCAAGGGCCTGAGTTCAATCCCCGGTTCCTCCAAAAAAAGAAAATACAAGTTCAGAGGTAGTGTCCCAAGGTGCTACTGAGTTGCCAGGTGTACACTGCCGATAAGCTAGGTCTTAAACTCAAATTTTAGGATTAGATTCTAAATCTCAGGCCTTTTCACCATCCCATGATCTTGCGCTCTGTCTTCTACTGTTGTATTAGACCTGGAAGTCAGTGAGCAGGGCAGGTAGGTTCCTAAAGCCTTTTTGATCCTAGCTCACACTGTAGACATTTGGAAAGAATTCTAATGTGGAGCATGATCACATTTCCGTCTGAGACTGGATCTCTTAGTAGATCACTGTTTGATTGCAGATGGTTTTTGCTTAGGAAGTCTAAACAGCATGACACATTTTATTGTGATTCAACAGTGTACTTACGGAGAGATGATAAAGTTCAGATTTGCAGCGGTATAAGAATACTACATTGTATTTATTTTTTGGTACCGGGAATCAAACTTAGGACCTTGTGCTTTCCAGGCAGCTATATCCCTGGCTCTACATGACATTTTACATTAAAAATAAATACTTTATAAATGTGAGAAAACATTTTGCATAAGTAATGAAATTTAAGAGACATAAAAAATGGAGTCCTCTGCCAGTGCCTCATTTGCCCAGTAATATATTGATATGTCCTTTGTTTTGTTATTGTGCTGTGTCAACAGGCCACAGTTGTAAATGACAAGCCCTGCCCTGGATAGGTCACTTGCCTCGCTTGGCCTTGGGGCTGGCCTGGGCGGCCCAACACATACACGTGGAGGCACCGTGAAAGCTGTACCGTGCCGCAGCATCGTGTTCACTCTTATTCATGCACAGCCCTTCAGCTCTCTGTTAGAAGGCGTTCTACCTCGGGTGCTTAGGGAGTGGGACAGGCACACCATGCGGCTGGGCCAAGGACAGACTCCAACCCAGCGAGGCCTTGCTGATGAAATCATGAAGGCCTGAATGGTGGGAAGTGCTTGTAGTTTGGAATGTGCCGCATGACTGAGTTTGTTGAAAAGGTGAATGTTGGTCAGATTTAGTTTCTGATTTAAATTTATTGATATTCTCAGTTAACTTTTAAAAATATATTATTTTTTAAACTTTTATTTTATTAGTATGTATTTGTAGTACATGCAGTTTACAATTTTCTTGAAGAGTATTACATTTAGCTTTTATATTAACAAATTGAGATCCCTCCTCAAAAAAAGTAAAATATATTAAAATCTTTTAATAAAATATATTTTTATTTATATTTATTTATTTGCGGAACAGGGGTTTGAACTCAGGCCCTTATGCTTGCCAGGGAAGCACTTATTCTATTGAGCCATTTCCCCGGACCCCCTAAAATATTTTTTTAAATGTATAAGCCACTTTAAGATACAGAGTATATATATATTTTAAAGATAACCCCTCTTCTGAACATGCCCTGTCTGCCCACATTAACACAGTCAGTGATCAGAGGAGGTGGATTACTGCTGTCACCCTGACATTAGGCCTTGTGGTTGGCCCTCCTTTCTTCTTTTTAAGGAAGAAAGGTTTATCTCACAGTTTTTATAGGATTCAGTCCATAACTGGCAAGGCAGGGTGGTGTGGCAGAGGGGCGTCCCAGAGGAGAAGCAGTTTCTGGGGGCAGAAGGCGCAAAAACAAGCCAGGGCAGGAGGGGCTACATCTCTCAAGAGCAGAAACCCACCTTTGAATTGTAGCTCTGCCACACACTGATTCTGCGGGGCTCATGTGTGCCTCAGTCTCCTTGTCTGTACAATGGAAAATAAAAAGTATCTACCTCATAGTTGTGAGGATTCAATGAGCTAAACGCTATAAAGCACGTCGATGCGTGCCTGCCATACATGAAAGGCTGTGCCTTGTTTAGAGCCATCAAAATAATTACTGTGATTGTCATTATTTGGCAGATAAAAGTAAATTGGATTAGGTTTCAGAATTGATTTTCACCAGGCGTGGTGCTGCACGCCTGTAATCCCAGCACTCAGGAGGCTGAGGGAGGAGGATCTCTTAGTGTTCAAGGCCTTCCTGGGCTACATAACAAGACCCTGTCTCAAAAAGAAATAATATAACTTGGCTTTTAAGTGTAATTAACTTTCACTTTATTTTGATGCTCTTACATTGAAAGGGAGATAGGAAAGTCTTCTGTTTTTACAGCATCAGTTTGGTTTTCCCAGACAGCTCTTAACTTAGAAGATGCGAGCTCTCCCTGAATGTGTGTGTTTTTCCTGCGCTTCGTGCTCACTGAGCGTCTTCTGCCTCCGGGTCCCTCTTTCCTTCCTGTGCTTTGCCAAAGTGTACCAGAGGTAAATCTTGTCTCTGATTTCGGGAGGCCCTCAGCACAGCATTTGCAGATTTTCTATTCTTAACTGGAGATGGGGGAATAGAGATGGGTGAGCCTTGCTTTGCAGAAAGGCAGACAATTTTCCTAGGAAGGCCTCCCATTCTTAAACTGTTTTCAGAGCTCCCTTGACCTGAGTGCTTCACCCCCACCTAATCCAGCTTTGCTCCATTATCCTAACTCTTCTTTTCTTCTCTCCCTTTCACTCTTCTCATTATTCTTCTCCCCATTCGCTTCAGAGATAAAACAACACATTCTGCCCTTGTCTAATGCAGAGCAATTTCCCTTTCTTGACAACCATTCTGGGATCTTGACAGCCATTCTGTAGAGGGCCACCCACTCCAGGGGACTGGACAGGAGAGGCAGGGGCCATACTGAGGGAAGACATTGCCACAAAAGAAGTTTCTTCCAAGAGGAATTCTTGTGTTAGCCGTTAGGGTGACAAAATAGAGAATATTCCATCCCATACGTGGTATTCAAGCATACCAATCTCAAGATTAATTGAGTCAAGACTCAAATGAAGTGTTAGAAATGTGAAAAATGAGTATATATATAATTTATCCAAATCATAAACTCTAGATATATTTGATTAAGATAATGTCCTTGGAAATAGAATATATTCTGCTTTTAAAGAAGGATGCTGCTTCTATAAAGGTCATGAATCCAATTAGCACAAAAGAGTCACTTCATGTCATCTTGCAGTATTATATTTCTCTCTCTCTCTCTCTCTCTCTCTCTCTCTCTCTCTCTCTCTCTCTCCCCCCTTCCCTCCCTCCCTCCCTCTTTCTCTCATCCACCTTCCTCCCCTCCCCTTTGTAGTGGGCTGGATCTCAGGGCCTTGGGCACACTAGGCAAGTGCTGTGTCGCTGAGCTGTGTCCCAGCCCCTTTCTGTGCTTCCCAGTCTCCCCCGAGTCTCCCTGAGCTGCCGGGGCTGGCTGCCCACTCACGCTCCTCCGGCTTGGCCTCCCGCACATCCGGGAGTACAGGTGTGTGCCAGTGTAGTTTTCTTTTCCTTTCATCTTGTACGCAGACAAATTGTAACCCTTAAAACCTAAAACAGTGTGGAAGTACATTTGTTCCACAGGAAATAGACCTTTAGTGTTTCTTTTTATGGATCAGTCTACCCATAAAGTGACTGAATCTGTGATTTATCTATATTTAAAGAAGGGTCAGATTTTTTTCCCCACTTTTATGTAAATTTTGAGGATTTGTAGGGATTTCACTATGCTGTAATAAACTGATCATCTTTTGAATTTATACATGAAATTCATGAATTTTTTTTTCTTGCAAGGCATTAGCCCAGACTTACAGATTGTTTCCCCTCATAGGTAATAAAGAAGAGGCAACCTAACCAATTACCATGGAGTAATGTAGAAGAGGATGGAAAAACTTGTTTAATGGGTAAGAAATAAAAGAAAACCTTTATAAAGACTGTTTATTAGAGTATTCTGTTTGGCCAGTTGTAATATTACACTCCTACTAGGATAACAGATTGATCACAGGCTTCGTTTTTCCTTGTTCTAAACTTTGATTATCTGCTTCCATCTTAGCCTTGTAAAATTTTTAGTACAATGAATTAATTTAAGCTAAGGGGACACAGTCATATTTGAAGATTTAAAAAGGGCCTGGAGACCTGCAAACACACGCAGTCAAATGGTCTTGGAGTCTGTGGTGGGTGGATGGAGCCCTGTCTGTCCTGGCTGTCAGGAGTCATTATCCACCCCTTCTTTCTCTCCAGATGCTGCCAGCTGCTGGGATAGTAGGCTCGCCATGGGGGAGCTTGTGCACTTGAGCAAGTTGAGATGTGTGTCGGGTGGTAAGCAAATAGAATTCCACAAAAGCCCCCAGTAAAGAGTATGCCTAAGTGATATAATTTTTTTTTTTTTTTTTACTCAAGTCCGTACATTCCTATTGTCAAAATTTAAATGTCACAGATAAGCAAACTCCTCTACCTGAATCTTAGCTGCCTTCCTGGTCTAAGCATGGTGTGCATTTATGCAGCCTGACTCTGTCTACTGGTTAAAACGTGGCTTTGGAGCCAGTGCGGTTTTACCATGCGTGCGAAAATATCTGTGTTGAAGCAGGAAACACAGCTCTTGTGCCCAGAGAGCTGGGGCGGACTTCCTGCTCGCTCTGTCGGTCTGTGTGGAAGGACAAGTCTCGGGGTTTCTTCTTGCTCGCAGCGCAGTGCCTGAGTAGCTCCAACAATGTCTTGCCTGCCCTACTCATGGCGTGTTAGCACTTTCTTAGGGGACGCAAAAAATTGCCTGTCTTGAGAGAGAAGGACATTGCAGTAAACATCTCTTTCTTAGGATTTCCCTCTTGTATGGCCCTGGGGCTCATCTGATGATTATGAACTCTTCTATCCACTGTGACTACAGTGAAGTACTTTGAATGGACCGTATGCAAATACTGAAGTCAGTGGGTACTGAATAGTGTATGCTGTTGGGCAGTGTTGTAAGTGCTTCCGTATTCATTCTCTCAATACTTTTATGTACTAAGGAATAGATATTGTTATTATTTGTATTTTATTTATTTGCATTTATGCTAAATTGAGACAGGATCTCACTACGTAGCTCAGGCTGGTCTTGAACTTACCATGTAGCCCAGGCTAACCTCAAGCTCAAGGTGAGCCTGCCTCCGCTGCCTGAATGCTGGCATTAAAAATGTGTGCTGCCCTGCTTGGTTTATTTTCATTTTATTTATTTATTTATTTTTTAAAAATTTAATATTTATTTAGTGTGTGTGTGGCCAGCTCGGCCCACCAGGGGGCGGGGCGGGCTGGCATGTGGTGCTGGGGGATTGAACCGCGGTCCCTGTGCTTTGCTAAGCTTGTTGTAAGTAGGTGCTTTAGACCACTGAGCCATCTCACCAGCCCCCTTATTTTCATTTTAAAGGTGAGATAAGTGAGGTGCAAAGTAAGTAGCATGCCTAAAGCTGCATTCCAAGGCCCGGCCAAATAGCTTAGTGGATTAAAGCACCGGCAAACAGGCGCAGGTGTTTGATCCCCGGGGCACGCAGAGATGGCAGTTGAGACTGGGCGTGGTGGCGTAGGCCTGTAATCCCACCTGTTGGGAGGCTGTAGTCAGGCGGATCACTCCAAGTCCAATCTAGTAGTGAGGCCCTGAACACCCTGTAGACTCCTAAAATACAAAAAAAAAAAAAAGCTGCATTCCAAAAATCCCCTTCAGGATTCCAGTGTAGACCTATGTGGCTGGCCAAGGACATTCTGGCCTGGTTAATAAATTCTTCAAGGTTTGCTAAGGATTGTAAATTGAAATAAGACGCGAAAGCCAAATATCTCCTGGGAAAGTCACTGTCCCTGCTTTGTTTTTGCCTATGTGTGGGATGAACGTTTGAAACCATGTATTGTCTCAGTGTATGAAAGATAAAGAAGTGAGACGGTCACTCAAGAGTAATGCTTTTTTCTTGACAGTAGTTCATTAAAACTGTTTTGCCTCATTCAAATTGTTTTTAGTGATACAACCAGCTGCCTACCTAAAGGGCAGCCCCTGTTTAGACAGGATGAGAGCGGTTGGTTTGTAGGTAACTTCTAGCGGGTATTCACAGAGACACGCAGGCCGAAAGACAGGACTGCGCAGCAGTTTGGAACTGATCGGTAATGGGAAATTGCTCTTTTGTCCTGTTAAATAATATTTGAATGACAGTCAGCAGAAAGTTGTGTAAGAGAAGAAAAGCCAGGAGAAAGGTGACTTATGGGTCTTATAATTAGAATGTCACTTATAAGTAATGGTCTAAAAAGTAAATGTACGCTAACAATTGACATTTACACATGGACTGGTAGGAGTCAGAGGATATGTTTTTTTGTTCTAGGGACCGTCTTGTCAAGGAGAAACATTGACTTTTCATTCCTTCAAATAGCACTTCATTTCCTGTTGAAATTAATGTTGAAGTACAAAGAGCAAGTGCTATTTAAAGAAGCAAGTGTGTTAGCCTTCCTGTGAGCGTAGCTGCACGGTGTTCATGTTTTCCTCTTTCTGCTGTTGTTTACCCCCTTTCCTCCTTTGAGGATCCCTTTCGAATGCTGATCAAAGGTATGAGTCTTAGAATCCTTTTTTTTTTTTTCAAAACAATGTCTTCAGGAGCAGTCTAGGCAGTCCAGAGGCTTTCAGGAGTTGATGAGATCAAAACTATTTTCAGGGCTGGGGACATAGCTCAGCAGCCCAAGTGCAATGTCCCAAGTTTGATCCCTAATACTACTGCACACTCGGGTGTGCTGTGTTGGCCTTGAAACTGGGTGTGGTGCACATGCCTATAATCTTAGCGCTGGGGATACTGAGACAGGAATGATCACTAGAGTCCAAACTGCATAGTGAGACCCTGATCAAAAAAATTAAATTTAATTTAAAAAACTATTTTCATAACAATACCACAACTTTATTCCCCTCCCCTGGTTCACTCAGGAGTACCCAACAACTGTTTAATGGGAACCTGACAGGGTGCCCAAGCAGATAGGGGTTTAGCTGTCTTTCTTTTTTTTAAATTTTTTTATTTATTTATTTGAGAGAGAGAGAGAGAGAGAGAGAGAGAGAGAGAGAGAGAGAGA